CAGTCAGTGTCCTTAAAGCTGGTGTGTTAAGCTCACAGTGGATATGGTGCCCAGTGCCACCACTCACTGGTGTCACAATAGCTTGCATTTAAAAACAAAAAACTATTTTCACTGTTATAGATTGAATAGCAGCCAGTGTCCTTAAAGCAGGTGTGTTAAGCTAACAGTGGATACGGTGCCCAGTGCCACCACTCACTCATATCTGTTGTATAATCCTTCTCTCACCACCAATACTTCCAATTGGTATCCTTTTGAGAGAAATCCACTCTGCGTTGTGTATTAATAGTGAATGTAATATCCCTGTGTCACCTCTTCCAAGAACTAACATATATCTTTATCCCCTTGTCCAGATAAATATATGACTAGCACTACGAAGGTATTCTACCCGATATTACAAATAAACAGCCAACACCATAGTTCTTACCAGAGAGAAATCTTTACTTAGAATCTGCCCAGTTAAATATTACAGAAGAAGAATGTTACAGAGTTATAGTATTACACTTACAATACATTCATAACACTCATACATTCCATCTATCTAATACTATCTGCTACATTGTGTATAATAATATTGGCTACATTGTGTATGTGCTGTGCATGTTATGTGCAGCTTGCGTGTCTTACCAAACCTAATCTAATGTGATGTCAGTATCTTCTATTGTTAAAGGAATTGGTTCCCATGTTGTAAATAGCCAATTCCTCAGCTCACTTGATATGGAAATGTGATTTACTTTCCCAAGGCCCAAAGTGTTGTCTATCCTGTTATTTTATTAAAGTGTTAACTCTCCCAGCCATCCCTTGTCTCTAACCCAAGGTGTGTTTTCCTATATAGGGACTCCTTTGAAGACCAGTTGATATGTAAATGTGATTGGTGCCTTTCAGGTGCTGTATCTTTCCAGCTAACTAAACAGAAACTCCCTATGAAGATAATTCCTTACCTCCCATACACACAGACTTAATCAAGCACATATTAAACAGATATATACATAATATTTTCCCCAACAATATCTGGTGTCACAATAGCTTGCATTTAAAAACAAAAAACTTTTTTCACTGTTATAGATTGAATAGCAGTCAGTGTCCTTAAAGCGGGTGTCAGGCCTCCTTCAGCGTGTGCTCTGCAGACCTTTGCCCGTGTACTTTGCCACTCATATCTTTTGTCTCTATAGCGTGCTTTTACAAAGAAAAAAAGGTTTCCAGTGTAAGCTAATAGCAGCCAATCAGTGTCCTTCAAGCGGCTGTGTCAGGCCTACAGCCTGTGCTCTGCACAACTGTGCCAGTGCACATTGCCACTCATATCTGGTCTCACAGTAGCTTGCACGCATAGTACCACTAATCCCCCCAAAAATGACAGACAGAGGCAGGCCACCCCGCAGGGGCCATCGTGGTCGTGGTGCTGTGATTCCCTTTGGCCCCAGAATAATGCCCAGTTTTCAGAGGCCACGTACCCTGAACTTGAAAAGTTCTGAGGACATTTTTGACTGGCTAACACAGGACACCCAATCTTCTACAGCCTCCGCTCAGAACCTTGACGCACCATCCTCCTCCAGCTTAGCTTCAGGCACCTCTCAAGATACCACTCACCCGCCTGCCGCCACCACCAAAACTAGCACCACAGCCGCTTTACTTGGTATGTCAGAGGAGTTATTCACACATCCGTTTGAAGAAATGAGTGATGCACAACCATTATTGCCAGAGGATGTAGATAACAGGGATATGTCTCAGGCAGGCAGCATTACACACATGGACGTACAGTGTGATGATGATGTTGTACCCGCTGCTGCTTCCTTTGCTGAGTTGTCAGATACAAGTGAAGCGGTTGATGATGACGATGCGTCCATGGATGTCACGTGGGTGCCCGCTCAGCAAGAAGAAGAACAGGCGAAAGTTCAGATGGGGAGACAGAGAGGAGGAGGAGGAGATGAGTTGGAATCAGGGGGAGGTCATCGCAAGGAGCTAGTGGCACAGTCAGACAGCATGCATCGGCACCTGGGGTCAGCCCGACAGCA